AACAGGAAGACAAAAGCTTTAAAGTTGAAGCTTTCCTAACACCTTATGATCCTTTAAGATTCTGAGCATACCAGCTTTACTTGAGCAAGTGAGAATACTCACACATCTTGTAAAATCAGGCCTTTAGGGAAGCAGCTTCTGTACCTAGATTTTAATGTGTCTGTTATAAATGAAGTTTTAACAAGACGGGTGGTGAGTTTTCTGTTTTTGTTTTAAATCTTATCTTTTACTAATTTTGTCATTGATTGATTATATTTTGCTCAGAGTTCTTCGGGAATTGCTCCAGAGGTTAAAATAATCAAATGGCTAAAGCACTCAAAGCATTACAGCATTTAGTTTTCTTGGTTCAAATTTCTGTTAAAGCCTCATATCCAAGATGTGAAAAAAATCCTTACTTTTTAGTGCTATGTTTTAGTATTCTTTTTATTAGTATGTTCAATATAATATATGAATATTGGTGGGATTTTTAGTGACTCCTACTCATAAGATAGATTCTTATAGTGAGCTATCAGTGCTGTTCTGTGAAAATACCACGTGAAGTGCACTACTTGGTGTCGAGAATAGATGTTGTAAATGATCTGCGTTACTAGTACAAGCTGTAGCTGATAGCAATGTCTCTTTAAAAGCTTTCTCAGTGATGAGGTACCTAGGCCAGATGCAACACTTTTTCATAGCAGAAATTTCAGAGCTGTAGCTTCTTCAAAGCAGCTCTCTAAGTAGCATTCCTATGGTGCTTATGTTCAGAGCTTTAAAATTGCCTGATTTTCTTAGTTTTGGAATTATACAATGTAATAAGTGCTATAAATAAATTCCCATTTCAGGCTGAAAAATGCTTCTCCAGAAGACGTGGAATATTATAACTGCCAGCAGGAACTTACAGATGATCTACATAAACAGTATCAAATAGTGGAAAGGATAATTGGTATGTGACAAACTTCCAGATGGAAAACAATGTTGAGAATATTGCAAGTTTATTGCTTGCATGTTGAATTTATAGTTAAGAAATTTAGGTTATTAATATCCCTAACAACTTAAGGCAAAACAATATCTCTGATTAAGGGAAATGTTGTCATACTGTCTTTGCTGTGGAACTAGTTCATGTTGTCTTATCACCTAAAATGAGTGTTTTCTTAAAATACAGAAGGCAAATATTGATCTGGTATGTCTGATGCATTTCTGCAGCTCATTCAAATCAGAAATCAGCAGCTGGTTATCCAGATTATTATTGCAAATGGCAGGGTCTGCCTTACTCAGAATGTAGCTGGGAAGATGGTGCTCTCATTGCCAAAAAATTTCAGGCATGTATTGATGAGTATTTTAGCAGAAATCAATCCAAGACCACTCCATTTAAGGATTGCAAGGTGAGTGTGTAATTTCAATGGATTTATACAGTTGTGATGATTAAAAAAAAGTTGACATATTTTACACATCCAAAAATAAGACGCATGTTATAAAATAGTTTTTGAATGTTGTCTGGAACAGTAATAATGATATCTATATTTATATATGTAGCAAGTATCATTATTAAGAAGAGCCTTTTGTAGATATTTATTCCCTACTTATTTTATTGCCATTCAAAAATGGTTTAGTACTTTAATTTGTTTTAAAAGTAACCTTTGTGAATGAGTTCATGTCACTTCTGTCATGGAATTTAGATCAGCAATCAAACTAATTTAGTTTGCAAATGGGTTGATATTGTTATATGGTCTAGTTGTCTGTGATGAATAAAGACTAAACTTGGTGACCAAACAGATTCCTACTGCTGCTTTGTTTCTATAAGAAGACATTTTGGTAACTTCACTTAGTAGTAGGACTGATGCTCAATTTGCTTTTGACAGATTCTAAAACAAAGGCCGAGGTTTGTAGCACTAAAGAAGCAACCATCTTATATCGGAGGACATGAGAGTTTAGAGTTAAGAGATTATCAGTTAAATGGACTGAACTGGCTTGCTCATTCATGGTGCAAGTAAGTATAGCCTTAAATTAGTCTTGTTGTTTTCAATTTGAAAGCATTTATAAATTTATTTATTGGGTTTGTTTTGGTGTTTTTTTTTAGAGGGAATAGTTGTATTCTTGCAGATGAAATGGGTCTGGGTAAAACAATACAAACAATTTCTTTTCTGAACTACCTGTTTCACGAACATCAACTGTATGGGCCTTTCTTGCTAGTCGTGCCCCTTTCTACCTTGACATCTTGGCAAAGAGAGATTCAAACTTGGGCTCCTCAGATGAATGCTGTGGTTTACTTAGGAGACATAACTAGCAGAAATATGGTGAGTATTTCTTTGTATCATTGAAAAAGTTTAGTGGTAAACAAGACTCACTTCATGTTCCTGTCTTACGCTAAACTCCAGTATTTTGATTAGGAATGAGCAAACACTTATTTGAAACATATGTGTTTAAAAAGCAAATTAAAAGCATAAATTTTGATCTGATATAAATGTATGTGAAAGATTTAATTCCTGCTTAATAATAAAAAGGATTAAAAATGCAATCTTGCATTTGAAAATAAATCTTTTATCTTTTATTTGAAAATAAGTCTTTTATCATGTAATTATTTAGGTGCATAAAATAAGTATTTGAGCCGACCAGACGATTATAAGATTATATAAATAATCTTATCCATTAAAGTTTTAAAAAACTACAAACCAAAAAAACAAAACCAAAACAAAAAAAATCAAAAACCAAAAAACCACACACACAAATTCCCAAAAATTCAAAACAAAACCAACAAACACCCCACCACCACTTTTTAAAAAGTTTAAAAAAACTAAAAACTTCACATTTTATGTTTGTTTTTTGTGATCAGATTCTTGTATGTCACTTAACATCTATATTGTTGTAGTACCTGAAGTCATCCCAATCAATTCTTCTTGTAGATAAGAACTCATGAATGGATGCATCCACAGACCAAGCGATTAAAATTTAATATACTTCTAACAACTTATGAAATTTTGCTGAAGGATAAGGTAATTGCACTTACTTCTTCAGGGAAATAAAATCACTTGTAGAATGTAGAACTCTTTTAGAGTTGGCACATATTTGGGTTCTGGGCCATTAAATGGCTAAGGAGTATGACAGCTTTACTCTTGGAAGTATGACAGTGAAGTTTTCTTTAAGCACTTTTAGATTTTTATGTATGTGTGGTGAGGCTTTCTCCTCCCCCTTCCCCCCATCTAGTGGGTAAAACTTATTTTTCATCAGTTTGCTTGAGCATCAAATTACTGTAGTAATTTCTTTGCATCTCAAAATCTCTACTTTCCTGTTAGACCATCATGCAGGAAC